TTCAAAACGACTGGGACTATAGGCTAACCATTATCTATGTTAATCAACGTTTATTCATAAATCTGGTCCCTTCACCGTCACGTGCGTATTGTATTTTTGCCCAACTAACCAATAACAATGTTTTAGGAAAGTTACCTATCCGTGAATCGAACAATAGGGTAATTTGGAAATTGCTATTGGTGAATTTGGCAAAATTACAATACGCACGTGACGGTGAAGGGCCAGATTTTTCAATAAATGTTGACTAACATAGATAATGAGTTATATTGTTATTCCATCATAATACAAGGCTGTTTCTTGTTTAGATTACCCATACTTCATTCAAGTGAGGACTAATTATGATAAAATCAAGTGTCTGTAACTCAATTTTATTTATTACATGGGTTTTTATTTCCCTTTTATTTTACTTCTCTGAATGCATCGCCGTCAGGGCAACAGGAAAAATATACACGATTTTTTGCTTATCACAGAGAACTTAAATACTGTATCAAAATGCACGACAATGTCACCACTATTTTTTCTATTTCTTTGCACCATGCAGTTAAAAGGTCTTTTAACTCATTTTAATTTCCTAAATGTGTCTGTTCAGGAGATGCTGCAACTTCTAAGAAAGTGGATTGTGGGAGTAGCGCAGAAACTGTTGTAATATGGCATATCGTGGTATCTTTGATGTCTGGAGTTATCATTGGGCTTTTTCTTGCATACATTGTGCTGAGTGCACATCGCCGTTGGTTTAGAAACAGAAAACCTCAAAAATACTGTGAACCACAAGAAACTGAAGTTGATACAACTTATCAAGAGCTTGATCTTTCAAAAATGAACACAGAAGATAATTATCAATCATTAAGAGTGAACGCTGCAAATAATGACGATGTATGATATTACTGCATGCATATATTGAGTTGAACAAAACCAGATATATGTGGAGAACTATCAGTCCTAATTTGAACCTGGATCGTTATATAAAGGTTGAAGGTTTAGCTTCCTTCCAAGGCGTCTCTGTCTGTGGAGTTATCTTTTATACTTATAGTGATGCTTGCTGAGGAAGCTGGGTTCAAAGTCAAAGGAGAGGTTTTTACAACTGTAAAGATCGAAAAGGTCGTGGGTCCGAGGTCAGACAATATTCTTCTGTTTTCCGGAGGTTTTCATTGATGGCCGCGCGACTAGATTCTCGACCAGATTCTTTCTGAAACAAAATTTATAGCTTACAGACTGTTGGAACCTTATAATTATAGTTATATTGACTTAGTTCAAAGTGCATGCGCAGTACGTTTGTATTATCTTGAAAGATATTGGCTTACTGCTAGTTTAGTCGAGTAAAATAGTTTTCTTGGCTGCTCTACTGTTCTTTTGGAGTGTCTAGAATGTGCTAGTGCTCATCGGTTACCAGGTTATTGTCGCATTATAACTGGATCTGATAACAGGTTCATGAATATCCTGTTCCACAGTTATGATTCTCAAAGAATGACCTAATAATTGTTTTTTACTTTGCGTAAAGCCTCAGGGTAGTATACTAAATTTTATGTTTAGGTATTCAATGTCTTATGGGGGTATTCATTTCAATGTCTTCATTTTGAGAGCTACAATCTTGAACGTATATTGCTGCTTGAGACTCTTTCCCTCCATACAAAATTCGACAATTCCCTGTCATAATATAGTCTCTTGTAAACAGTTTCCCGTTACTTTTGTATATTTGTATTTTCTATACTTTCGCCATGCGGAAGTCCACCTATGTTGACGTGTGTCTTTAGTTTTCTATCTCAATATCATGCGAAGTTATGCCAGCGCTGTTCTGGTTTCTATGGGGCCCAAAAACACGATACCGACGACATCGAAATTGCTAGGAACTGTTTCAGAAATATTTATCCAGAAAGTGTAATAGGGGGAATTTTTGTGGGCAGACATTACTCCTGAACGGCTTATGTTGATGTCGTAAAAAGCGCATCTGGTATCGTGCAACTGGGACCATAAAACATTGAATAATTAATTAAATAACTTAGGTCTCGGCAATGTGCAACTATTAATGCCAAAATTTGTACAACAAATATGTCGCAGCGAAAATCTGGCGTATACTAATATTTCGTTGTCGTTTAGTGGGATGCAGGTTCTGCAAAATCAAATGATGATCATTCACATATAAATAAGAGATTGGCACCGCGCATGCAGACTATCACGTTACAAGTTGGTTTTGGAAATTGAAACCAGTGTAATTAATTCATCGTCAATTGACATCTTATGTCATTGTTTAAAGGACAAGAAGTCGATGTAATTTATCTCGATCTTGCAAAAGCCTTCGATAAGGTTATTATTTGGTATTGAGGGACAATTAAGTAATTGGTTCAAGAGCTATTTGAGTGGAAGGCAGCAGCGTGTGGTGTTAAATGGAGTATTTTCAGATTGGTTGGAGGTTACCTCTGGTGTACCCCAGGGATCGATCTTGGGACCCTTGCTATTCCTAGTTTATCTTGACGACATGGCAGATCATATAAGACAGAACTCGGAACTAGCATTATTTGCAGATGACTCCAAAGTTTATACAGAATCACACTGATTATACATTGTTGCAGGACTATGACTTGTCCCAACTCAACGACTGGTGTAAGGATTGGCATATGGTTTTCAACACTTCGAAATGTAAGGTATTAAATATATAAAAAAGTGTTAAAGAAGAACGAGCATACGTACTTGATTCTTCCACTTTGGAAACAGTTTCAGAGATTAGAGATCTTGGATTGATAGTAACAAATATTTTGTCATGGAATAATCATATCGAAGGAATTACACTACGGTCAAAACAGGAAACTGGGACTAATTCGCAGGCTATGTAGAGAAAATGTTGATCTTCATTGGAGAAAGCTGCTTTATTGTATATTAATTAGACCGCAACTTGAATACGCTTCTGAAGTGTGGTCACCATACACAGTCAAATACAAATATTCAAATATCAGTATTCAAATCTAAACATGGACAGTCATTGTATTAGTTATTCAGTGTAAATATTTTCCTCTTGTGCCAGATCGATAACAAGTATACTACCAGAAATTTTGATCCTATGTATGACTATCGTGTGAGTCTTGCAAAACAAGACTATCTTTAATAGAGTATAGTTGTACTTTGGAATAAATTGGCCAAAGACTATAAAACAATAACAAGTCTTAGGCCTGGGTCAAACTTTTCATGCGCCGAACCTAATGTTAATGAGCTAAGTTCTTTGTTTCACTTCATTTGCATTAGGTGCGGCGCATGAAAAGCTCGACGTTTGAATTAATCTCTAATTCAGAAGTAAGCCACATTACTTTTACAGACAAAAACTAGAAGTCGAATATATACTCCCACATAAAACTAATTAGGCGTTGTACTATAACATTTTTGTATATTATTTGGATAATAACTGTAACATTTTATATATTCTGTAAAATTTTAACGGATAGGAGCTGGATATCAATTGGGACTTTTGTCCTGTTTCTGCCGCCTATTCGCTACTTATTGTGCATGCGACAAATTATACTACTTATAGCAGGTATGTATAACTATGTAATATTTGTTATAACGTTAGTACTGCAGTAGACTATTTTGTATTATTAATTCGTATGAAAACAATACCATTCAATTTCATAGCAACCATGCAGATATCTAAATATTAGACTTGTTTTCCTCACAGTGCAGTGCCAGTGACTTGCAACAATAGATTATCTAAACGGCTTAGCCTTAGGCGGGGTCGTTCACTTGAGCAAGATATGAGCCGGGATGAATCGTGTCATTCCCTAACCATAAACGATCGTTTAATTAAATGAATATACTGAATATTTATACTATCACTGGAATCGAACAATAAGCTCAGCACATATACTACTCAGAAATACTCAACACTGAACGTTGTGCTGTATATAAAACTGAAGCTATTGAAAAAAGCTATTTCGTGTAGAAATTTCAAGACTTTAGCTAAAAGGGAAATATTTAAAAACTACAAAACTGGTAGCCGATAATTTGTCATTTTTTGGCCGAATGGCAGTTGTTTTCGTATTTGGTTTTGCCACTCGTCGCGCCAGTCATTGTTTATTGTTAACCCGCATTTCCTTCCCACCCGCAACATTCCTTTAGAGCAAAAGACCAATCACAATCAACTAGCTCAACAGCTTGAACCATGATCATCGGTCTACTAACTAGTTTTTTGACTGCTCTGACTGCATGTCCTTGTGTTTATAGTGCACATTGCTCATGCACAAGGGTAAAGGCGCTAGGTGATAACTAGATAACTGGTTAAAGATTTAAGGTTATGCTGTTAAGCTGTTTACTAGTTATGACTTTCAAAGAATAATCTAGTACCTCGTTCTCAATACGAGAACAATCGAGTCAACTACGACGAGATCACCAAAACAAAATAATATGGTCATTTCTGTTTTGAGAG